GTTAAGCTGAGTTGGGCGGAGTTAGGGCGAGTTAAGTTGGTTCATACTTTCTAAGGCCTATTCACAGGTTGTTCATGGCTATAAGGGTTTTACTTAAAGCTTTGGGACACATATTCCTAGATTTATGCTACTAATGTATATTGTAAACATATTTAAGGCTTATACATGGTTATCCTATTGCTTTATGATTGTAGATCTCTTGGACGCTTCTCGTTAAGCCAAACCATTGAAAAACTGAATTGTCTAACTGTCATCGGTTCTGTGAGTACAATATGCATTTATAAACAAATTCTGTTTTTAACCTGATTTCTCTTGAAAATCACCTGGTTATTGAAATTATTGGTATATTTCCTTGACAAAAGACATATATGTCATTATTGACATTGTTTTGGAAAAGTCTCTTGTTACTATTTTCGATAGTGATTACATACAAAAAGTTTTGTATCTTGATAAGCAATTTCTACTGTTGACTAAATATAACTTGTTTTGAGGGAGTCTCGGATTTGTAAGAACACTGTAGCTAACGGCAATATGCATTGGACTGGGTGCACCTTGGCTTATGTCCCCAACTATCAGGGGTGGTGCTAGACTATCGTGTTAGGCCAGCACAGTAGACTTATATATCTAATTACTGGCTGACTATGAGATTGTCGTCTTGATTATTGTGTATCAATAGATAATGAGGCCGCTGTCTTGATTACTATGTATCGGCAGACTATGATGTCGCCCTCTTGATTTTTGTTACATTCTGGATCACGAGACCCCTAAAAAGTTCCGTAACTATATTTTTGCTTTAAAAAGTTTTTGATATAACTTGAATCTATCTCTTGATTGCATAAATGCATATTATTGTTTTTCACTGAGTTTCGCGATTCATTCTTTTAATATTGACCAGATTTGGAGTTCAATATTTCTGTAGATTCTGCCATCTAAGAAGTGACTACATTACCTTGGGTTGTGGATGTTAGTGTTTCCTATCTAAATTTCTGTCAAACTTTTAAGAATCTTGTTGTTGGACTTCATTGACTGCAGATAGGTCATTCTTTATGTGTATTTGGATTTGTGAGGTTGTAATCCTGATTCTGCAATATTTTGGATTTGATTTAGTTATCTTGAATTATTTGGATCCTGATTTCCATCAGGCTTGCAGGATTGGAGTTAGTCTAATCCTTGCGCCGATCACGGATCGGCTCTTGGGTCCTGACAAGTACCTTTCAATAATTTGAAATATTTTGAAAAATTTTCTGGAAATGTTATAGATTGAAAACTCAATTTATTTCCACTAAATTTAATTTGTATGTCATTCACCGAGATATTAATCTCATCACCCCTTCTACTTAGCAGATTACAGCAATTCACATTGGAGGGCATCACTTTAGCATTTTTTGCATGTGAACATACAGTAGTAAAGGTTGGCCAGTTTTAGTAATTGGAGTGCTAATGTAGTTGTTTTACTTTTTGAAGGGATGAGGGGTTATATGACAGATGTAAAATGATAGCAGTCATGAGTTATCTACAATTTAAATAGACAGTGTATTATTAACTCCTATAATTTATGTCATATGGGTCCAAGATTCTAATATGACAATCTTAGGGTCACAAAATATTTATTATGTTATGCTACATGGATTTAACAAGTATGTATAGCCCTGTTCACGGTTCAGGTTTGAACCGTGAACCGGCTCGGACCGAACCGGATCAGACTGTTAATATCCGGTCCGGTCCGGTTTTGAACGTGAAGGTTCGCGGTTCGGTTAAGGTTCACATTTTTTTTGAACTTGAACCGGAACCGGATCGGAACCGTGAACGAATCGGATGAACCGGAACCGGGAATGAACCGGGAACGAATCGTGAACCGTGAACCGTGAATCGGAACCGTGTACGAACCGTGAACCGAAACCGTGAATCAGAACCGAGAATGAACCGTGAACCAGAACCGTAAATGAACCGTGAACCGGAACTGGTAATGAACCGTGAACTGTGAACCATGAACCGGAACCGTGAACTGTGAACCATAAACCGGAACCGTGATGAACCGTAAAATATTTAGTATTTTAAAAGTTTAATTTTTATTATTTAAAATATTTTTATTTTTCATTTAAATTTAAAATGAAATACATTGTACATAGGGGTATGCAAAACCAAACCAATTAACCAAACTAATTTTTAAAATTTGGTTTGGTGTTTTTAAATTTAGTTTGGTTTGGTTTGGATTAAAAAAATAATTCAAATTTATGGTTTGGTTTGGTTTAAAAATCAAACTAAACCATTCTAAACTAAAAACCAAAATTTTAAAAATATTTTTGTTTCATAAAAAAATACACACACACGTTTATATATTTATATAAACATATATGTGTGTGTACACAAATACACATACATACATGATACATATGTACTTATATAAACACACATATGTATAAATTTTATCCACTCATATAAGTATAAATATATCTACATATACATATATTTATATTATATATAAATATATACATATACACACACACACACACACATGCACGCACACACACATGTAAATATATATATATGTATGTATACATATATAAATAGGTAAATATATGTATTTACGTATTTATGCATACACACACACAAACACATATATATTTCTATATTTTTATGAATATATATATGTTAATATATATACATATACATGAATATATATGTTATGTATATATATAGAAATATATATACATGTTAATATATATACATATGCATATTGAAATTTTAAGTTTAGTTTGGTTTGATTTATAATTAAATTAGATTAATTGGTTTCTAAAATATTAAAACAAAAAAATCAAACTCAATTATCAAAAACCAAACCAATATTATGGTTTATATATACCCATATGTATGTGTACGTATACACGCATACATATATATTTTTATGTTTATATGAGTATATACACACACACACACACATGAATATATACAAATATGTATGTATGTATGTATGTATATACAAGTATATACACACACACATACATATACTTGCATATATATACATATTTGATAATAAATAATTTATTTTAAAGTACTAAAACAAAAAAAAATCAAAAATCAAAATCAAATTATCAAAAATCAAATCAAAATTGTGGTTTGCACACCCCTAATTATATGTAATAAAAGGTTAGAAGAGTTATGAGTTTCATCCATTAGTCAATAAATTAAAGTAGCTAATTATATATATACAAAAGGAAAATTTATTTTTCAATGTTTAATAGTTTAAATAAATTAGAAAATAGATTATTTAAAAAATTTCAAATGATTTATAAGTTAATAAATAATTTTTTTGGTAAAATCAAATTGGAACCGAATTGAACCGTTGATGAACGAAATTGAATCGAACCGGGAACTGAACCGTGAATGAACCGGAAACCGAACCATGAATCGAACCAGGAACTGAACCGTGAACGAACCGGAAAACGAACCGTGAACGAACTGTGAACGAACCGGAAACCGAACTGTGAATCGAACTATGAACGAACCGGAACTGGAACCGTGAATGAATCGGCCCGGAACCGGCATGAACCGGAACCGGAACCGGACCGGCTTTCAAGGTTCCGGTCCCGGTTCACATTTCTTCGGGACCGGAATCGGCGGTCTGGTTCCGATCCGGGCCGGTTCAAGGCCCGTGAACAGGCCTAAGTATGTAGACATAAGCTAGCCTAAATAAGATAAGATAGAGGTTATTGTGACCGGTATGCTACTGTGCTTTTGCCACAATGGAGTGTTGGTTGCTACCTTAGCTGTTATGCCTTGTTCAGTAAGCAAAGATGGGGTGTGACACGTGCTCTTGATATAATTTTAGAAATATAGTTGGAGAAAAATAATGTTTCTAGAATTTTAGCTTAAAAGATATAGACATGTAACTTTGAAATTGTTAAAAAAGGGCACCAAAGTTTCTTAAAAGTTTTGCAAATCAATATTTTTATGATAGCGTACCATGTTTTTTTGTTGTAGGTATCAACATATCTCCTATAATTATGTTTTCTAATAACAGAAGTTTCAACTTGCAAATGGAACTCTGTCTCTTCCCGATTGGAATGCCAAGTTCAATAGATCTATGCAAATCAAATTAAATATTGTTGTCATGTTGCTCTTCTATTTTATTTCAAGAACGAGTCACAATCTAGATATTTATTCTAAAATTTGAAGATAAAAACGGTAGATTTACATGTTCTCAAATATACGTGAATCAAATTAAAAATGGGTGCTTGGTGTGTCTTAATACATACATAAATACATACAAACATACATATATACATACATACTTATATATATATATATAGTTGTAAGCATAGAGGAGAGAGAGAGGTTATAATGGATCTGTGCATTTGGTCGAGTGATTAGTTGGTTTGGCAATCCAAAATTGTGCGCAAGTAAAGCATTTAACTCAGAGGATGTTCCATCAAAATTTTGCAACGGAATAATGAAAAACATAATAAATATCATTACTAAAAAAGAGAGCCACTTGAGTACGACCTCTTTAGAGCACCAAAGGAAGAAAAAATGAAAGTAAAGAGCAACAATTCAAGTTGCACACACGCTCCATATACAACATATTATCAATTATAAACACAATAAACTAAAATAAATTATTTTTACATTTCAGTTCACGGCACATTTTCTGCATTTGCTTTCACATCAACATCATCGTCACCCCTGCAAAAATGCAAAATGCATGCATAAGTAGCGTTCAGAAAGGGCATAACACTTTTAATAACAATATGCACCAGTGAATACATAAAAAAGCAACCATTTCCAAATCACCAAAAATCTTCACTTTGTAAGAGTTGGAGGAGGCTCATAGAGGTATATCTGCTTAAATTCTTTAAATTCTCAATATAAAAAATATCAACAATAATAATAACAAAAATAATGATAACAATAACAATAATAATGAGGACCATAATAATAATGTTTCTTGAAAGAGATACAATTACCTGAGATTTACATTAATCTTGGCACTCCATTCTCATTTATGAAGTCATTTTGAATTCAATGCCAGAACCTTTGAATTTTTCTTCCACCAGGTTCTTTATTTTTTCCGCTATTGCTGAGCTTAGATAATTAGCCCAGTCTCCCACCTCCCCTTTCCTAAAATATGCATTGTTTTGTAGCCCTGGTATGCATTCTCCACTTGTGTTCACTTCTAACCCTTTCAAATTTTCAATGCTGCACAACCTTGATATTTCTTCTATCACTCCTCTCTTTTTTTTCCTCAGAAAACAGGAATCCCAAGAAATCTGCTAGCTTAGTAATTTGACTTATAATATCCTCTTTTAAATCTTCAAATTTAAGAAACAAAATCCTATCTTTTTCCTCCAAACTCTTATTCCAATACTCTAAAACATGGTCCCAAAATGGCCCAAACGCACATATTCCCTCTTGAAACATCTCGACAAGTTCTTCAATTGAACTTGCCTCCTTGTACTCTGGACATTGATTTACAGCGAAAAGCCAACGAGAGATAAGCTGATCCATAGGATTTCGACATATATATACAATGAGGCAATTGGAATATGAGATGCATCGTGGCAATAGTGAGAATGGAAGATGAGTAGCAAAAATTCTTGGATTATGTAGGTTTTCTATATTAGGGTTTTTATTTTCATCATCATATATTTGAAGATCAAAGAAAAGAACAAGGTTGTGAGGATTACAAGTGAGGAGAGGGTGATTGGCACTATCGGGGGCAAATTGACCACGGTTAAGAATAGTAAATATGAGACCTTTTAACCATGTTGTGCCAGATTTTAGAAAAGTGCTTAAAATGATATCAGAATCACATGATTTGAAGTGTTTTCGGAGGGAGATCATACCCTTCAAGCCTTTAGATTGTAACCAATAACCTTGATATTTTAAAGGACCCCATCCCAGAATTTAGCCTATGGAAGAGACAACACTAATTCCTCGTACTCCTTACTCATCCCTTCTTCATTTTTTGTAGTAATTTTTGAAACCTGTGTTCTATCCATGCCACAAGAAGATGAAAATTGTGTTGTGTCATCCAAAGAGGTGGGGTTTTAATCACATGAATGGAAATTTCAACTAAATCACTTGAAATTAGTTAACCTTTCTCCATCACATTGTTGGTGGAGTTTTACTTTCTTCTCACATGGATTTTTATTTAATAAGAATGGCAAATATGGAAATTTCATTAAAGTTGCATGAAAAGCAATATATATTCTAAAAACAAGAAGATAGAACAAGTGCTAGGTCCAACTCATGATGGATCATTGTAGAAATTTTGAGCAAGGACAATATTCCCCCTAATAAATTTTATTTTAGATCTGATACCAATGAACCATGGATATTTTATGTAAAGCTATCTAGATAGTCACTGGCCTCATAACTCACTTGGAAATAAATTTGAAACTGAAAACCCTTATTATAAATCTTATTAAACAGTCATTTTTTGTTTTAGAATTACATTTCACTTATTTTCACATAAAATTTGCAACACAAAAAAAAGATTGAATCTTTTAAAATACATGGAAAGAAAAAACCTTTTCGTTAAAGAGAAAATTTTTAAAACTTTAATTCATAAGCTAGAATGATTTAATTTTTATTTTGGAGTAGCATCCCAATAACATTATAACATGTGGTGTCGGCAGACAAGGGAGATGGGTCCATCAAATGGGTGCAAATGCAAATGGACAAATGGCAAATATAATTTAACGTGCCTGAAAGGTTCCCATTAATTTTGTACGTTGAGGCTCCACTCAATTTTGCCGGGGGAAAAACGCATTAGCTGTGGGCCCCACATATTTTTGGGCCGGGAGGAAAACACCATAGCTATGGGCCCCACATAAGCAAATGGAGATTTGGCCAACTAGCTCCAATGGTGCTGATCTCGTCCTACCATCAATCAAATCCAACGGCCTGGTTTGAATTTTTATACAAGTGCTCTCATGTTAAATAAAATTTAATCCACTAAACAAGAGTAATCCAACTTACAAGATTGAGCTAATATGGGGATGAATACCAATATATCTATACTCAACCAAAAAATTGATCCTCAAATTTGTCTTTGTATTTTGTCAAGTATTAATTTTAATTCTCGTCATGTCTCCGTCCCCTTCAAATGGTCCTCGGGTGTTTTGTGGTATTTTTCAACCTAATAATTCATACGGGATTTTTCAATCAAATGAATTTTTAAATTTAATACAAAAACAAAAAAATAGAATTTATTTTTATTTTCTGTTTTATCATTTTGTTCTTTTTATAACACAAAAAACGCCATCCATGCATGTCCGCTGCTTTGCATGGGCACATAGGTTTATTGCTTACAATAGAGTACAGTAATTTAATTTTTATGTGTATTAGAAACGTAGTAGGTGAAGGGTACTTTCTTTAGAATATAGCATTATAATTTAATGCAATTTTCAAGTATTAAAATATTTAATCTTAATTAATCATATGAAAATGAATTTATAATAATTTTATGGCCTAATGTGACAGGAAAAAGTTGTAGAGTCACGTTGAGTTGAGGAGGGCATATGCCTTCTTTGAGTCTTGATTCTACTATTGACACAAAAAAACTAAATCTTATATTTATATTTTTTTTAAAATATATTTATATAAAATTCCTCTCTTTTTGGTGGAGTTTCATTTTATTCGGGCTTAAAAATAAACTAAACAAAAGATTAAAACAACTTTTTCACTTTTCATGACAAATTTTCATTTGAGAATATTATTGAATCTTTTTTATTTTCCTTTTTTAAATTGGTTATTCAATTACACAACCGTATAAAAACACTATAAGAATTTAAAATAAAAATAAAGTAATTTTTTAAATAAAAAAAAAACAAGAAGCCTTTCCTTGTTCTAATCCCACTTTATTTCACCAATCCCTGTCCTACTCAAGGATAACTAGTGGGTTATAATCTATCTTATCAAAAATAGGATTACTCCATAGGTTAAGACTTAATATATAAGATAGGGATAAGACTCTTTTGCATTTTATCCCTCAAAACTTCTTTACTAATTCAATTTGGTTGTTAATATCCTCAGTATTTCACATCAGTTTCCAACACATTGAGTTTTTTATTTAATAAGAATGGCAAATATGTAAATTCTCTCAAAGTTGCATAAAAAAGCATTATCTATTCTAGATAAAAGAAGGAAGATAAAATAGGTGTTGTATCCTATTTGTTACGGATCATTGTAAAAATTTTGATCAAAGCATAATGTTTTCCTGATAGCTAGTCCTAGAACTCATAGCAATAGATCATGCATATTTTTAATAAAGTTATCTGGATTGTCACCAATCTCATAACTCTTTTAGAAATAATTTTAAAATTGAAAAAACTTTTTATAAATCTTATCAAACAACCCATTTTTGTTTTAGAATTATATTTCACTTATTTTCACTTAAAATCTTTAACATGAAGGAAAATAATTGAATCTTTTAAAATATATGGAAATAAAAAAAATCTTTTTGTTAAAGAGAAAATTTTTAAAACATTAATATATATATTAGAATGATTTAATTTTTATTTTAGAGTAGCATTCTAATGACATTATAACATGTGGTGTCAGTAGCCAAGGGAGATGGGTCCATCAAATGACTGCAAATGCAAATGGACAAATATCAAATATAATTTAACCTGCTTGAACGGCCCCCATTAGTTTGGCACGCTGTGGCTACACTCATTTTTACCGGGAGAAAAACACGTTATCTGTGGGCCCCACATATTTTTTCGCCGGGAAGAAAACGCGTAAGCTATGGGCCCCACTTAAGCAGATGGAGATTTCACCAAACTAGCTCCAATGGTGCTGATCTCGTCCTACCATCAAACAAATCCAACGGCCTGGCTTGAATTTTTATTTAAGTGCCCTGTTGCCTAAGTTAAATAAAATTTAATCCACTAAACATGATTAATCCGTCATACTTTTATGTGCATACATGTCACTGTCAAGTCCATGCATTAGGCCCACTACTTAATGGTGCTCGCACTTTTAATGCTGTAAATATTAAGAAAATATTAATTTGATGCTATCTTAAAGGTTGAGTTCTTCTCTTCTATAACGAGGGGGATCCATATGTCATTATATATGTCTAAATTTTATATATCTAAACATATATATGTCTAGCTTTGCATGGGCCCCATAGGTTGTTGCTTGCAAATCGAGTATAGTAATTCAAATTGTATGTGTATTAAAAACGTCGTGGGTGAAGGGTAGTTTATTTAGAATATAGCATTAAAATTAATACAGTTTTCAAGTATTAAAATATTTAATCTTAATTAATAAAATATTTAAATTAATTATATGAAAATGAATTTATAATAAATTTTATAGCTTAATATGCTGGGAAAAAGTGGTGGAGTCATGTTTGGTTGAGAAGGGGACATGTCCGTTCTGAGTCTTGACTCTACTGCTGACATGAAAAAATAAATCTTATATTTATATTTTTGCCAATATTTTTATATAAAATTCTACTTTTTTTAGGTGGAGTTTCATTTTATTCAAGTTTAAAAATTAATTAAATAAAATATTAAGACGACTTTTTTACTTATTACGACAAATCCCCATTCAAGAACATTATTGATTTTTTTATTTTTCTTTTTTAAATTGGTTATTCAATAACATAACTATATAAAAACACTACAAGAATTTAAATAAAAATAATGTAAATTTTTTTTAAAAAAGGAGAAGCCTTTCTTTGTCCTAATCCCACTTTATTTCACCAATCCCTACCCTACTCAAGGACAACTTACGGGTTATAATTTATCTTATCAAGAATGGAATTACTCGTAATTTAAGACATAATATATAAGATAGGGATACAACACCTTTGCATTTTATCACTCAAAATTTCTTTACTAAATCAATTTGGTTGTTAATATTCCCAGTATTTCACAACTACTTCCAAACATCGAATGTTTTATTTAATGAGAATGGAAAATATGGAAATTCCATTAAAGTGGCATAAAAAGTAATATATATTCTTAAAAGAAAAAAGATAAAATAGGTGCTACATCTTGCTCGCGACGGATCATTGTAGAAATTTTGATCAAGGACAATGTTCCCCTTCATAGATTTGGTTTTGGATCTAATATCAATGGATCATAGATATCTTATGTAAAGTTATCTGAATAGTTAATGGCCTCATAACTCTCTTAGAAATAATTTTAGAACTAAAAATTACTTCTTATAAATCTTATCAAGCAGCCCTTTTTTGTTTTAGTATTATGTTTCACTTATTTTCACCTAAAATTTGTAACACAAAGAAAAATGATTAAATTTTTTAAAATATATGGAAACAAAAAATTCTTTTTGTTAAAGAGAAAATTTTTAAAACTTTAAATTATAAATTAGAATGATTGAATTTTTATTTTAGAGTAGCATTCCAATATCATGATAACATGTGGTGTCGGTAGATGAGGGAGATGGATCCACTAAATGGCTGCAAATGCACATGGACAATATAGCAAATATAATTTAACGAGCACGAACGGTCCCCATTAATTTTGCAGCATGAGGCTCCTACACTCATTTTTGCCGGGGAAAAAACACTTTAGATGTGGGCCCCACATATTTTTTTTTCTGGGAAGAAAACACATTAGCTGTGGGCCCCACATAAAGCAAATGGTGATTTGGCCAACTAGCTCCAATGATACTGATCTCGTCCTACAATCAAACAAATCCAACGGCCTGGTTTGAATTTTTATGTAAGTGCTTTGATGCTAAAGTTAAATAAAGTTAATCCACTAAACATATCCATCATACTTTAATGTGCGTACCTGTTACTGCCAAGTCCATGCAATAGCGAGATGATTTTAATTAAAAATAAGAGTTATTTGTAAAATATATAAAAAAAATTAAAAAATTAATAAAATGATTTTTAGAAGATAATCTTATAAAGTGATTGTTGAGAAATTTTTAAAATGAAAAAGACTATTTTATCTTTTTATATGTATATATATAAATTTTATTTTTAATATTTTTTACCATTCTTTATTATTTTTTTCTTTTTTCCCCTCATCTCTTTCTCTCACTTTCCCTTTCGAAGCCATGGCTTTCACTTACCACCACTCCGGTGCAAACACCCCTGATTGTTATCTAAGAGAGATCGGCCTCCACCTCTCCTCTTTTCACCGATCAGGCATTGTTTTTTTGCCGTGGTTGGTATAGACGAATCGGCTCTGTCTCTTGATGCACAGCTTTACAAGAGTAATTTGGCATGTTGAAAAATATAGAGGGATAATAGTGTCAAGTAAAAATTTAGAACAACTTTAATTTATTTACAAAAATATCATTAGAAACAAAAACACCCTTCCCCTACTTCTAATTTTTTACTGTTTAGAGTTTTTTTTAGAGAACCTGAAGTTGAGAGTATGTTTGTAAACATTTTAAGTGCTTTTCAATCAATGAAAAGCTAACAAGTACTTTGAAGAAGTGTATGTAAATCCCCACTAGGCCCACTCCTTAATGGTACTCAAACTTTTAATATTGTAAATATTGAGGAAATATTAATTTGATGTTGTCATACGGGTAGGATTATCCTAAGGTGAGATCTATATCTCACTATATATGTCTAGATTTTATTTACCCGTGAGAAAGAAAGTCATTACTATTAACGGTAATATTAAATAAATCGAATAAAATACTTAAAATAAGGAAAGAAATATTATGAACTCTTTAGTTACATGTTTTGGTTAATATTTATCTGTATTGTGTTGCTTAACTATAGTATCTCATATGGATATTTACAACCCATAAAATTATTATTGCATTATCTTTATTGGATTTATTGTATGTATCTACAAATTTGAATTATATAAGCAGATCTAATCTTGATAAAGTTAAAATAATTAATGGTGACCCAAAATAGAAACTTTCTAATAAAATGATTGCATCATCTTGCAAACCAACGTATTTTTGCTAGATTAATGGGAAACAAGCCAATAAAGAGAGCTATTTGGAAGTTGGATTTAGTCCCCAAGCTAACATCTTTTATACGGAGAGTTCTCACAAATGCATTCCTGTTGGAAAGGAGCTTGTTTAGAGGAAAGTAATCCCTTCTGCAAAGCCTTTTCGGATAAGATGTGTTTTGAGTCATTTTAGACTACTTTGCTAGAGCATTTGTCTACATAAGAATGAAGTTACCTTTAGTCAACAAACTCCGAGACTTACAAGGATACTAGAAATTTTAGAGCTTCATCAATAGTCAAATGGTTCCAAAATCCGCTGAAAAGAATTAAAAATATGTTGAAAGATCAACTTCAAGGTTTACAAAAAGATCAACTTCAAAAAATGATAAATACGCATGTTGCTGAAACATGAGTTTTACCGATCAGCTGCTTATTCACCATCTATATGAGCCGTCCAAGATGTGAAGATTTTCATTGATAATCAGCTAATTATTGACCACCTACATGAGCCTTCCAAGGCCCCAGTAAAGGCAAGAAGAAGCGTACGAGATAGTTTCTTGCTTTTGTGTCATTTTGAATCTCTTATCTTTCGGAAAGTGCGTGCAATTCAAGTTCTAGTATTTTGTATTGTTAAATATTATTTTGTTTAATATATGATTGCTCTATTTGTTTTGTGGTGTTAAGTTTCTTTATTATGTGCTCTTTTATTCAATACAACACGTCCACTTGCTTATATATTTTTCAAATACTCATCAAGAAAGAAGCAAAAATACTCCAACATCGAAGTTATATTTTTGTTGGAATTCCATTAAATCCTTTTGAGAATTGAAAATGAAAGAAGAAATTTTTTGTATTCTAGAATTTATATCTCACAGGCTTCAATTTTCCAAGAAGACATTTACTTTGATTAGCTTATAACTAGTAGAACAACTAAAATAATTATGTTGCTCTTTTATTTTATTTCAAGTATGAGTCACAATTGGGATAGCTATTTTATTAAAATTCAAAGATAAAAGTGGTAGATTTAGATGTTCTAAAATTTATGGAAATCAAATTAAATTTGGATGCTTGGTGTGTGTTAATCTTTGGTGTTTTATATACACACAAATATATATATATATATATATATTGTAGCTTTTTTTGTGAGGGGGGAAGGGAGGGAGGGGAGGGGGGAGGGGGGGGGGGAGAGAGAGAGAGAGAGAGGTTGTAATGGATCTTTGCATTTGTTGAGTGATCATTTGGTTTGGCAACCTAAAATTGTACCCAAATAAAACATTTAACTCAATGTATGTTTTGTCATAATTTTTAGATCTAAGAAAGAGAAAAAAACACAAAATGCATGCACTAGTCGCTTTCAAAAATAGCATAAGATTTTTAATTCTATTTTTTTACCGTTTTACGTCTTCCAAATATCAACAGAATAAACATAAAAGGAAAGAACATTAATTAAAGTTGTGCACATACACCCCACAAAACATATTACCAACTGAAAACATGTCAAACTAAAAGGAATTGTTTTGTAAAACTCAAATACATTTCCGTCTTCTGCAATTGCTTTCACATCAGCATCTTCATCACCCCTGAAAAAACTCCAAATGCATGCATAAGAAACTTTCTGAAATAGCATAAGACTTTTAATAGCAATATGCAATGGTGAAAACATAACAGCTAATGACAAGTAGCCATTCCCAAATCATGAGAAATCTTCACTTTATAAGAATTGGAGGATGCTCATGGTTATGCTTGCTTCAATTCTCTAAATTCCTTGTAATGAAAACGTAACAAAAACAATAATAAGGATAACAACAGGATTGACGATGATGCATTTTTTAAAAGAAATTTAATTACCTGACATTTGGCTTAATCTTGGCAATCCCCTTTCACTTGCGAAGTCATTTTAAATGTAATGCCAGAACCTTGGAGTTTTTCCTCCACAACCTTCTTCATTTTTTCTGCCATTGCCGAGCTTAGATAATTAGCCCAATCTCCCACCTCCCCCTTCCTAAAAAATGCTTTGTTTTGCACTCCTGGTTTGTATTCTCCACTCATGTTGACCTCCAACTTTTTCAAATTCTCAATGCTACATAATCTTGATATTTCTTCTATCTCTCCTCTCTTTTTTTCTTCCTCAGAAAATGGTAATCCCAAGAAATCTGCTAGCTTAATAGTTTGACTTATAATATCTTCTTTTAGATCTTCATACTTAAGAAACAAAATCCTATCTTTTTTCTCCAAACTCTTATTCCAATACTCTAAAACATGGTCCCAAAATGGCCCATACGGACATATTCCCTCTTGAAACATCTCGACTAGTTCGTGAATTGAACTTGTCTCCTTATACTCTGGACGAATATTTGTAGCAAAAAACCAACGAGAGATAAGCTGATCCATAGGATTTCGACATATATATACGATGCGGCAATTGGAATCTAAGATGCATCGTGGCAATAATGAGAATGGAAGATGAGTAGCAAAAACTCTTGGATTAGGCAGGTTTTCTAGATTAGGATTTTCATTTTCATCATATATTTTAAGCTCCAAGAAGGGAACAAGGTGGTGAGGATTACAAGTGAGGAGAGGGTGAGTAGCACTATTTGAGGCATAGTGAGAACGGTTAAGAATAGTAAATATGAGAGCTTTTAACCATGTGGTGCCGGATTTTGGAAAAGTGCTTAAAATGATATCAGAGTCGTGCACTTTGAAGTGTTTTCGGAAAGAGATCATACCCTTCAATGACATGGATGGTATCCAATGGCCCTCATACTTGTGGAGGACACCATTCCAGAATTTAGCACATGGAAGAGATAACACTAATTCCTTGAACTCCTTGCTCATTCCTTCTTCACTTGTTGTGATAGTTTTTGAAATCTGTGTTCTATCCATGCCACGAGAGGATGAAAATTGTATTGTCCAGGAGGTGGGGTTTTAATCACATGGATAGCAGTTTCAATTACATATTACCTGAACTCAATATAATGCTTCTCTATCACACTGTTGGTGAAGTTTCATTTTGTTCCTACATGGATTTTTATTTAATGAGGGCAGATATGGAAATTCAATAAAAATTGCATTATAAAGCAGTATATATCTTAAAACAACAAAATAAAAGACAGCAATGGACCATGGGTAGTCACGTGCCTCGGCACTCTCCAAAAAGAATTTTACTTCATGCATTATTGTTGGAGAGAGAATATTTTAAATTGTTAGAAAGAAAATGACACAGAAAATAGATTAGACTTGTCCAATTCCAGCCACAAAAAAGGAAACTCTTTGTGCATTTAATATTTCAAATTTTGGTATAATAACATTTAAAATAAAGTTATGGAACACGTTATAGGGAAAGAAAACAAATTAAAATTACCTCCTTTATTTTTACATTTTCATATATTAATTTTGGATAATCATATAAAAAATCTTAACTCTCTTTAAAAATCAATCATTATAAAGATTTAAAATTTTTTCTTTTAAAAACGTCAAAAAGTCCCACCAGCCAAACAACCTTAAATCCATGCATGTTATATCTAATATATAGTGTAAAAATTCTAAAAGAATAGGTTATTTTATTTTCATACTGAATTAAGAAATTAAACCCAGCCAAGAAATTAAAATGTGTAACAGAACTTTTTTTTTTTTTGTATGTTAATAAACGTCTTTTGGATATAGTATACAATAAGGTACCTAGCTACACTATACATTACCTAAGAAAGCGAAACCCTAACCCTGTCCCAATCCCACTTATACGTTACCAAAATTTTGAATTATTCATATAGACCCCGCCAGAAACCCTAAAGATTTTGTTCTGCTTAATTGTGACAGTCCGACGGTCCACCACCCAAGGCCCCTATGGTAGCCGATAGCCATGCAGCCCCTATTCCTACTCACCCTTTTGAAGTTGGTGTGGTCCCTCTCACAATTTGCCTTTCTATTAAAACAACAGCCCCGCTTTGATCTTTATAATAAAATCATTTGGGTTTGAATTAAAGTTCACTTAAGCTTATGTTTAATGAAATTTTAAAAGATGTGCTAATTGGATAAGTTTTTTAGTTATGTTCAATCTGGTAAAAATTAGGCTGTTTTGGTGATCTATAAATTATTTTTTACAATTTTTTTAAATTATTGATTTTTTAGAGCATTTGCATTACTTTTATTTTTATTAGAAACTATAACTTCCCATCATCTGTATGGTCCTCAATATCCTGTAGATTTGGGAAAATCTTGTTCCTATCTTTGTTTCATCTAACATTAAATCCACGTAGATAATTAAACTCTTAGGGGTTTTTCTTTTACAATTTAAAAAACACATGCCTCTGTTTCTAATGTTAAATTCTTACAAATATTGTTTTTTGTCTCTGTTTCTGACGTTAAAATCTTAGAAATATTATTTTTTTGAACAATATTTCTGGAGTACAAATTCCAAAAATTGAAGCACTTTACTTCTAAAGTTGAGTACAACCTTTAAGTTGTGCTCAGTTTCTGAAGTAAATTACTCTACTTATATTTGAAATAAAAAATTTTATTATATACAATATCATAAAATAATATATATTTTATTGTATATTAAAATAAGAATATAACACATTACGTATATTATATTATATTATATTAACACATATAACACACATATATATGTATATATACATATAATATATATTATATATTTATGCATATAATATATAATTTTATTTAATGTACTATTTTATATATTATATACACATATACATACACATACACACATACATACACATATAATGTGGGTGTATTATATATATATATATATATGTCATTCCTAATTTTTTAGCTACTTTTCACTCTAATTTTTTACATTTAAATATCATCAATACAATTTTATACAATTTTTTTAATTTATTTTTTTCCTTTATTTGAACCTCTAATGTTTTATTTTTTTACACAAATATTTGTTTCAAAAATAATATATAAAAGAATACAAATTTCATAAACATATTTAAAAAATATACGATAAAAGAACAGTATCTCGTTACTTCTAAAATATTATACTTTAAAGGCATGTCTCAATTTTAAAAATATGTGATTTTTAAGTTGAAAAATAACCGCCCTTAAGCCTTACAAACATCATGTGAAGTAGTCAAGACCCCATAGGAAGTGGGTGCAAATATTTCGGTTGATGTAAAATTTTTAAAAAATTAATAGAGGCAATCTATTACAATCTTATTATATATATACTTACTAATAAAATGTTCAGCGGCCCACCCAAGCTTAACGTGGCTCTGCCGCTAGAAATGCCCAAAGGAAAGACAGTCCTTGCACCTTCAAACACAATTTACTCATTTGCTTTGAGATATTTTTTATTATTTGGATCGATGTTTTAAAACCTAAAAAAGTGATCAAATTGGTTAGACCACCAAGTCACAATTCAACTAATTTGACCATCAATCAAACTAGTTAATAATAAAAATTATTTAAAAAATAAATAAAATTAATAAATACATTACTTAATTACAGAATGACAATATTCTCTACTTCATAATGAGTATAGCATAATTTAAATTAAACAAATTTAAAATAGATGTTTCAAATGAATTTAATATTTTTTCAATTCATATTTTTTTCAGTTTTTTTCCTTTTATTTTTCATGTCTCAAATTTAATAGTTAACATTAATCAACCTACATTTTTAATTGAGACATAAAAAGTTTTTAAAAAAGTTATTGTCACAATCTAAAGTGAGTCACGTGACTGATACTAAGGCTAGATCACCAACTCTAGTAAGCCTCGATAGAAAGAATAATTATAATTTAAACGGATCAGATATAAGCATTACATGTATCAACAAACAGAAGGACACGGTCTGAAAAGCAAATAGAGTAACTTTAAAATACAAACAGACAGAAATCATGTTGCCCATACTCAAAATAACACTTGTCGAGGAAACTAAGTACTTGCTTAATGGTACAAACAGAAAGGTAACCAACTTCACAATTTGAAAATGTTAGGAAAGAATAAGTATAAAACTCAGTAAATGATAATACAAACTCTAATTATGTTGGGACATATATTATAAAACATGCAAAATATATATAAAATCTAGATAGTGGGCAAAAGGTATGTATCACTGACAGTAATAATATATGTTTCAGAAACTTCAAAATCAATTTTTTTTTAAAATAATTTAAGTTCAAAAATGTAAATTAGATGGGGAGATTATATCAGAAATATCATTTCAACGGTAGAAAGCGTTGTACTAGAGGTGTCAAATATCACATATCAGAATATCATTTCAACTACAAAACATATCATGTTGAATATGTCAGAATATCATATCATAAATAACGGATTGCTGACTAAATACATTGGATTGGAGTACATTGTATCATCATGGATCACAGTATATCTCCCATCATATAGTTTATTTCAAATTATAATTCGTAATACAGGCATATGTTCAAAGCAAAATTGAATATATATATATATATATATATATTATCTCAAATGAGCTTACTGTGCTTCAAAATCAATTCCAAAATTCCTGCTCCATATTTTAGTGTCTAAAACTAATATTTATCATAAAACTCATTTTTATAATAATAAATGACTAGAGTCAAAACACGTGCATAGAATAAATATTGTTACTCACAATATAAGTAGAGACTGAAAAGTTCAAATATCTGTAACGATGACTCAACAATTGAAGTGTGTACACTTAGGAGTATCTATAATCACAATAATGTAACATTAATGTCGGAGTCATAGCTTAAATTAATTAAAGGCTCAATTGCTTAAAATGATCCTTAATCCTATTTTGAAACCATAACACGCATCTCGAGATTTAATATATAACAACCAAACCCATAATAGATGGAAAACACAAACTAATTTTATGTAAAAAACCCTTAAATTGGACTAAACTGGTTCCAAATACCCTTGAATTGGCATGAATTGGCCTCATACATTACTGAACTAGCTTAAACTGGCTTCAAACACTACTAAACTGCCTTGAACAGGCCTCAAACAACACTAAATCGGTTCAAACCAACCTCAAACACAACTAAATTGGCCTAAACCAGCCTACTACAGAGCAGCTTAAACTTGCCTCAAACACCACTGAACCACCCTGGTCTAGCCAATTAGATCACAGAATTGAACTGAACCAAATCAAAAGCCTTTAGAACAAAGCTAAGCTAACACAATAACCTCCAGAACTGGTTTGAACTGGTTCAAATGAGTCAGACGTGTCCACCAAGCTAGTCAAACCTGGTTCGATCAACTCGAACCACTTAGTTGAACTAGCATGGACTATTCAGGTCCTTTTTCACCCCAAAACCAAATTTCTAATCCAGTTTCCTACAAAATGACTTGAATGCCTTAAAACTCAAAATTAAATCAATTACCTCTCTTTCTGCTAATGGCCAACGGTCTAGGGATGAAGAATAAAGTTCAAAGACTTGTCCTCAATAGTCAATTGCTTGTGAAAACTTGCAAAAGAAGGAGTTTTGTATAAAACTGAAACAAGACTCCATGAGGACCTTCTTGAAATTTTCAAGCAATTGAGAAGGAGGTGGGTAAATTGCTTTGAAGCTATGGTACTGGACATCGTGTGCACATTTATAGGCATTTAAGGTGGACATTTGGGTGGTCGATGCCTCTAATTCCACCGGATTGTTCCAATCACGAACCGACTAGAACTTTCTAGGTTCTTTTGATTGGATCCTCCAGAGATCATTCCTTTTCAATTACACCCCATTTAAATTGCAACACCTTTATTTTAGCCCTCTCTTTTTAGTTTCTTTCTATGATACCCCTCATTGTTTCTAATTAAGTCCAATTTTTTCAATTTCTTTAATTACACCCTTCATAAATTTCAATTTAACCCCCAAATCTTTTAATTTGTTCAATTAAGCTCCTAAT